AATTAGGAAATAGTGCGCACATCGTCATTAACAATGACAACACTAAGCTAGCCACTAACTCTTGTGGCCCCCCAAAGAGCGTGGGAAACAGTTCCCAACCTAAATGCGCACTGTGCCTGACATTAGGTGTGGCAGAAAAAAGTGTAACGCTTTTCCCAATTAGGAAATGGCCCAATTAGGAAATAGTGCGCACATCAAAGCGCACACTTCAAAGTTTTCTAACTAAGCTTGTCTTTTCTAATGAAAAAAGCGGACACTACAATTTTTGTAGCCTTACTTTGGTTAAAGCTATTGGTAAATATATGTAAACAAACTTCGAAATGAGGGTTTTCTGCCTTCCTCTGCATAGATTATGGTTCCTGTGATATTTTAAGCATCTATCCCATCAATCTCTTTTTCATTGAGCATAGCCACACCTTCCATATTTAGAAATTCACACTGGATCCTGAGAACAGCACCTCAAACATCAAACAACATGGTATGGTATGGGAGTGGAGTACCATGGTATGGTATAAGGGTGCAATACCATGGTATGGGGTGTTGTAAGCAAATCTCTGTATGGTATGGTATGATTCCATGCTCATGGTATGATTCCATTTCCATGGTATGGTATGATTCCATGCTCATGGTATGATTCCATTTCCATAGTATGGTATGATTCCACCCCCATGGTATGATTCCATTTCCATGGTATGGTATGATTCCACCCCCATGGTATGATTCCATGCCCATGGTATGGTATGGTTCCATACTCATGGTATGATTCCATCTCTATTGTATGATTCTGAAGACATGTGGGATAAGGAATTGGCAATCTGTTCCAAGAGCATCTCCCAAGTTGCTCCCTCATAGGTGAATGTCCATAGCATTTGTTCATATTGCTGTCAATGTCATGGACTTCTTCACCATCCCTGATTAATTGTATGAAAGACAGAATTTTGATTTAAATTAGAATAGCTATATTTAATAATGATACCTTGAAGCTTGTAATTAGAAGTCTTGGCCTGCTTGTGTTCAAATGTTCAAATCAAAACTCCCCACAATGCCAGCTCTGCTGAGTGGCAGATATGAGGAGATTCCAAATCCAAGTTTTTTGATGATCCCATTCCTATGGAATGACCCCATACTTTTTCATAAATGGCAAATTTTGAACATATTCTATCTGAAGAAGGCATCCTTGCCTTGGGTAGTAATTTGGCTAAAGTTCATGCCTTTGCAATAAATAAAGTCTTGCAAAATTCTTGTTTTCCTTCAGAGGCCATGCCATTGTGATGGATACAACATTAATTTATTTGTCATGAATATAAATGGCCTGGCAAGATATACACTTTTAAGTGGCTTGTGATGGATTATCCACAGTGAAAATGGCCAAACCCTGGGATAAAGCCCAATCAAGCTAATTTTCAAGTGAATTTTCAAAAGATCAAGTTCACCCTATAGCCTCCACTTGTAGCTTAAAATGTCAGAAGAAATCTGAAGAACCAGTGATACGCGTTGCACAGGGATGACCGTGAAAGTGCAAAACACGCAAACAAGGATCAAGCGCGTCGGGAAAACCCTAAACACCTAAACACTCACTCACACACACACACACACACTATCACAATCTCAGTGCACAAGTTCGAGGGCCTTTGGTATTAAGAAATACCACTTTTGTCTTCTTAGGTTTAAGTCTCAAGAGATTTCGTCTCAAAACGGTTTTTTATTATAAGGTGTGGTTTAGAATAGTTCAATAGAACAAAGTATGTCTTTCCGGGAACTTGGTCTCTTAAATGCAAAGTTCTTTGATCACAGTTTCTTTTATTAACACAAAACACGACTTCAATTGACTTTTATGACTCCCGTGAGTTTTTATTATGTCACTACGCTCCAAAACTAAGGGTACGAGTACGCTGTCTCATCTAAATGATACTGTGTTTTTAAAACTTCTTATTCAAAAGTCTCCAAGTAAGTTGACTCCCAAGCACGCTGGCTTCGTTCACACTGTAGTTTTCTGACCACGAAGAAATCTCCTTTTAATTGATTACAACTGTCCACCTCCTAAGTCTCTACTTGGAGTGCAACTAGCTGGTCAATGGGGGGCGATTGCTTGCCTTTTTGACCTGCCAGTGCCCTCCTTTTATACTCCAAAACTCCTATCTACGCTTTTACATGTGTTTTTCTACAGTTTATATCGGTCCGAAATTACAAATGGAATATAAATAGCTTTTAATAATCATGTGGTATAGTTTTATAGTGTCTTTCTTTGATACACTACAGTTTTTGTAGTGTTGGTATCTTTCTCTTATGAACGCATCAGTATTTGATGCGTACATTTAATAGTCCGGCTTTTAATTATCCTTGGCCCGGACCAGTTCCTTATGCTTTTTTTCTCTTGGCATCAGTTACCAATTTGACGTATCATGTCATTTTAGCAATGGCCGGACCGATACATATGCAGCAAGCTGCCGGCTTCTTTATTTCCAGAGGTTATTTGATTAAAATGCCTCGGCTCGGTTTCCGTATCATATGGAGATCGGATGGTACTCCGAAGGACTTCAAATGACTTTCTTAGTTATCAGGGGGTCTCCAGATTGGATTACCTAATGTCTTTCCAGGTGCGCATTTCATAGTGTCTTGGACAATGCTACACATCACTCTCTGATGCGTACGCGGGAATTGCTGTACTTGACACTTTACATGGCCGCAGGCCACACTTGGTCCTCATACATACACTACATGGTCGCAGTATAGTCTTTCTAGTAGTAGAACATTATTTCACAATGTCCACATACAGTTTATCCTCTAGAAGTCTTGGAAGTATTTATCGCAGGATAAAAGTCCGAGTTTCCATATTAAAAATCCATTACATGTTTCTAAACCCTTGGTAGTAATGCAATCTTGTCCCTGCATTGGGTGGTTTACTCTAGAGCTTCTCTATACTCTATTTCATAGTGGGTGAATCCTAGATAGGCTCCAAGTATAATGTCATGGCGCATACTGCTGCCAGCTCCAAGGCCTTAGTCCTATGTTCAGACTCGACGCATGTGCACTTTTAGTCTACTGAACCGGGTATGTTCAAAGACTCTTATATCATTGCAATTTGTATATAGTGTATGTACAGAGAAGACCATGTTAACGGTAAAATCGCGAAAATCGGATTTTATACGGCTGAATACTTTTCACCCATATCAGCGCCCAGCCACAATCAGAGGTGACTCCTAACAACACCGCTGCCCCAGTCCAAAGCAAAAAAAGAAAAGGGGACTTGATCGAAGCCAGGCCAAAGAAGACCAGAGTCGTGAGCGCGGAGTTCATCAACAGCAGCAGTGATGAGGAAACATTGAAGCCGAAGTCGGAGTCACTTCGACCGGTTGGTGGGGAAGCAAAGGCAGTTAAACCCAAGTCCCAGCCCCATTTCTCCTGCATGACACCCAGTGCCGGCCTCAGTCTCATCCGAAGGCCCAAGTTAGACCCCGACGCTGGTCCTCCCAAGACCGCCATGGCCGCTTTAAGGCAAGCCAAAACTGCCGAACATCTTGCAAATCAGAATGCCGCGATTGTGAAAGGCAATTATCAGCTTGCGGATATACCCTGTGAGGCCTGCAGCAAACGCCAAGATCGAGACATTGTTCCATGCGCTATCCGTTCCCCCCCACAACAAGGATCCTGCTTCACCTGCAGTATGGGTAAGACGACCTGCACATATGCAGTAACCAAGAAAAAGGACACCGACAGTGAGGTCGAAGGCGAGATCCAAAAGGGGTTGCAGGATCTTGAAACGGCCACAGTCTCCGGGGGAGATGCCCAAGTGAAGATTGTGAGGAAGATTGTGAGGTCAAAGAAGCTGCAGGTGAAGAAGGTGAAGCCGGATGTCAAAGAGAAGGGCAAGCAGGCTGTCGAAATGGCCGCAGTTGGGCATGATGCAGAGCATGCCATTGACGTGGACATGGAGGTTGGTCTGACAATGGGAAAGGGAA